TGTGTGCTCCTGGTAAACTGTGGTAAAGGCCGACACTGAGCACGGAATTGCACAGTTTAAACCTTACGTTCTCTGGCATGAGCACCAAATGTGCAATCGCCGTGAGAAGGCAAAACCTGATTGCCACGCAAGACGTCAAATTTTCTTTTTTTGTTGTATATGTGCTAAGCACATGGAGAACGGAACGAGGGAATATGACACGACTGAACGAAATCTTGCTGTCTGTTCCATTAACTGGTGAGCATCGTCTAAAATACAAGACCAATCAACGTAAAAATCCGGCATTAATAAACGCATACAGCATTGTAACGCAGCTCTCCTTTGCTCTTCCAAATTCACTTGCAATACGTTTCAAGAAGGAACAGGAAAACGAGGTCACGATTGCAGCCTTCAATCGCTGTCGTATATCCAAGTCTATGGAGTCCAGGAGATCGGTGAAGAACTTTGCGAAGGCCGGGCGACTTCACACATTACTTAATGTAACGCAAAGATGAAAGGTTGCCCAGAATGCTTAGCATGACAATTATGATCAAAACTCAGGACAATATGAGATTTCGGCAAGATAGATCGGGTACTGTTGAGACCCTCAGAGAGTCTCAAAACCATTGTGGTGTCTCTTACGGTGCCAGAAATGTAACACAGACGAAGGGCTTGGGAATGGCTGGTAACGGGCAACGGGTAATGGGTGTATTGACCAAATGACAAGGACGGACAGAATGCCAAAATCACCAACATATTCACTTATATCTAGCCATAACCAGAAAGTCGTCTGGGTAGACACGTGCGAAAAATTTTCATCGTTCTCTCTAGGGCATTAGGGATGATTTACTGAAGGAGGTAGTTTCGTCTATCTTAATTATAACGGTTGACGAATTGGGAGAGTGTATCATAATTACTGCCAGCTATGGCAAAAGCTGTAAGTGGCTCTTACAATGGCTGTAAATGAAAACATGTGTGGAAAGACAAGAGAAGGTGTGGTTACAGTTGGGAGATCAAATGATTCGGCCTCCATAGCACAGGATCATGCCTCCACCACCAACTATGGCGATCTCATGCAGGCAAACTTGAAGTGGAGAAAACCTTGAGAAGTTTTACTATGGTACCTGCCTGCAAAACTGCAGTCTCCCGTTACCAAAACTCTCTTAATCGTAGCTCTCATTATGTGGCTAACATTTTAGGGATGGGTAGAGCTAGAAATATTTTGTTCATAAATACTCGAAAGAAAAGGCGGCATCACAAATGTTTCATAGATGAAGGAAAAGGAGGCCTGGCAAGAATATCGAAGTACAAAATGACATGAAAAGTTATGCGTTCGGTACCTGGCGGCCTCAAAAAAATTAACCCGATGCAAATTTTCCATGTGTTTTACGTTATAACCATTATTGCGTCTGTGGGCGATGTTCTCGTGGATGAGGGCAGGGCTGAGGCCCGCAGCTTTCTGGAAATCTAGCATTTTTAGAAAAATGGTGTTGACTTGAACTTGAACTCATTCAGTTGGCTACCATATCCTCTTCCTATCAACGTAGAAGGAAGATTTTGTCCGGTCCCGCCTGTTTTGCCGTGCCGTCAGAAAAATTTACGCAGTTTCGTAGCTTCAGCTCAGCACTGGGCAAGCTGTTGCCTATATCAATGACAATGCAATGTTTAAACGTGTCTCCTATGTACAGGAGAAAATTTTGACGAGAAAGGATATCAGGCATATGTGCAGACGAGGTACTTTATAGTATGCACGCCTTATTTCCAAAATTATTGCTCACTCAGGGAAAATAAAAGCAGTGAGTTAAGAGGGTGATTTGTGACAGTTATAATCAGAATATCCTGAATGCGTGCTGCTTGAGTATCGTAGTAATACACATTTGGAGGTATGCACGTACAAATGTACCGCTACACAAACGTTCACAGATTTTATGCGTTTAGCCTGGCCTAACACCGCCTGTTTCGTTAGCAACGGGCAGCAAGCCTATATAACAACACCGCCAATCATCCCGGCTTTGCGCTCTTCTACGTGTGAGCTGGCCCTTCGCCTGAGGCCACACGGCTACACAATAATGCCTTATTTTCATGAATGTGGCGGGGTATTTTGGCCCAGCGTGGTGCTGCTGGTGGGGCACGTTTAGATATCTTGTGGCTGCTGGTTCGGTGTGGACCTGCTAGCGTCGTGCGTGCAGGTGCCGGGTGGCTGATCGTTCGGCGTGCCTCTGGAAACATGCATGCAGATGTCTGGCTCCTATTGCCTCAGCTCGAAGCCGCCGTCCGCGGCACCGAGCTGGCGACTGGCGACAGGCTGCACATGGTGGCCAGACGGCGCATCGTCACTCTCTTCTGTGTGCTGTTCGGGGCCTCCGGCACCTTCTGTTAAGGCAGGATGGCCTCTGAAGAGCAATGTCGTTTTTCCTACACAGACATCGAGATAGGGACAATATGCTACATTTTATGGATGCATTTACCGTCTTTTAATCCGTGGTCTGACGGTTGTATCCTCGCCCAAAGAAATTATTCAACCGCATAGTCTACACTTATTGCCAGGGTTGGGAACCACCCAGATTTACAAGGTAGCATGCCAGATTTCATTCATTGACGGCAAGGCACCAGCAGCAAGCGACTTCGAGTTGCAGCTGCAATGCCTGGGCAGTGTAGAAACTGTCATGTCATTATCTCGGGCTCGTTCTCATACCTCCAGCGTGATATGGGACTCAGGGTTAGCGATTCTTAAAATCGTCCTTGCCTTGGAGTTTTGTCCTTACTGAAATAGCAGGGTCGTCACTTGTTCCAGGGAAACGGATTCGTAACACGCAAAATGGGATAGGGCTTCCAGTGTTCAAAGCGAAGACATTATTGGGTTGAGTCATCGCCGTACAGTCATTCGCGCGCCAACACGTTCAACGACATTTAATAGTACCTTCATTTCTTTCTAGCAAGTTTGCAGTGCACAAAATGAATGTGGCTGCGCAACAGTATGCAAGTGTACTTTATTTTCTTCGACCATCAACGGATAAACAAACGACCACATCATGCCGAAGGCGCCGTTCAGACAGGCGATCAGACGTCACTGGGGTGGTGCTCACTGTGTCACTTGCTGCTGGAGTAATAGCTGGGTCGGTGGATTCTGGGAGCATACCGTATGCCTTGCTGTGTGACTGGTACGATCTGACGTGGCCACCCAGAGAACGTCTTGAATTGCCGTAGCCGCGGTTGGAACCACTGTAGCCGCCGCTGTAACCACCATAACGGCGGCTGTAACCACCATAGCCGCCACCGTATCCACCGCCGTAACCACCGTATCGGCGGCCGTAGCTGCTGTATTCACCAGAGTGGCCACCGTAACCGCCTAAGTACCCTCTGGTAGCCGGCAGAGGCGACAGCTACCACGGCGGCGATGAGCAGCAACTGAAAACAAACAGAGGACTTCTTTTATATGTTCTTATGGAATGTGGTACAGTGTATGAAGACAGGATCCCACAATGCATGATCGGACTAAGTCCCGCGGAATCTAAACACAGAAAAGTTTTATTGATTTTGCATCAAGATTTCGAATAACTGATCACAGTCGCAGAGATCTGATTTCGCCTCCATTTTACCTTCCGCGATTGGGTACGAAAATGACCTCACACTGTTGAACATATCAACATTTCTACGTGATGTTCGCCACAATCTTTCAAAGCCAGACGTCGCAGCTGATCACCGATTTCGAACTGTCAACCTACATGCGTTGTCAGCTCACGGTATGTACTATATTGCATTATGCACCTTCCTAAACGTCAGAACAAGTCACGGACCTAAAATGGTCCAGGTCAGCGTTTTTTTTTTTTTTAGAAACATGCTACCTAGTGTACTATTTGTCGCCTATTCAAATGCAAAACTCCAAGCAGTCCGGTTTGATTTTGGTCACCACGACCTTCAAACGGTTAAACAAGGTTACTGGCCTTTAATGAGCATGCGACTTTTTGTCTAGAATATTTATCTATGTTCCATGGTTTTTTTAAGATTACCCTATAACTTGACCTAGTTTGACTCCAATTGACCCGAAGATCATGACCTATGAAAGTCAAAACTGGACCCACGTCAGTTTATGTTCAGTTCAGGACAATCTGTGAATTGGTGTCTCCAGTTCTCGTAGTTCCTGAGATCTCAGAGAATGATACTGCCCCCACCCGAACGATATGTATACGAGCGGCCATCCGGGCACGTGTTGAAGCTTCTATGTTTGGTAGCATCTCATGGCTCAACTTGCTCATACAGCAAAACGTCGACGTTTCGACACGTGTTCTAAACATGCTTACGCTGCAAGTGTGCACTTGTATACACCAATACTACCCTTTGAGTTTCGTTCAGCTGAGATGGCCTGCCGCAATGTTGTCTGGTCTGTTGAAATTTGTTTTCATGTTGGCATTTTTCACCAATCGATTCGCAAAAGTGTTAGTTTTTTCACCGAGCATATCCGGTAAATCAGGTTTTTTACCTGTAGAGGTTGTGAGGCTTATGATGGTAGATACTTGTGAACATGTGCGGTGCCACAAATTTGTCACAGGAGAGGGAGGGTATTTATTATATATATATATATATATATATATATATATATATATATATATATAATAATAAATATATTATATATTTGCATGTATATATATATATATATATATATATATATATATATATATACATATATATATATACATATATATATATATATATACATATATATATATATATATATATTAAGTATTTCATTTCCTTCCAGCCGCTTAACAATACACAAAACAATGCGTGCAGTTCCACGACAATATAGAAGAATAATTTATTTTTCCACCATCAACGGACAAATAAAGGAACGCATCACGCAAAAAATATCCATGCAGACAGGTGGCTAGACATAACTGGAGTGGTGCTTACTCGGGTCCCTTGCTGCTGCGGTAACAGATGGATCGGTATCTCGTGGGTGCATATCCGCATGCCTTTCTGCGTGACTAGGACGATCTGACGTAGTCACCCAGAGAACGTCTTTAGTGGCCGTAGACGCGGTTGTAACCACTATAGCTGCCGCCGTAACCACCATAGCCACGGTTGTAGCTACTATAGCCACCACCATATCCACCGCCGTAGCCGCTGTATCCACCGCCGTAGCCACCATATCCTCCGCCGTAGCCACCGTATCGGCGGCCGTAGCCGCCGTATCCACTAGAATAGCCACCGTAACCGCCAGAATACCTCTGGTAGCCGGCAGAGGCGACAGCCACGACGGCGGCGATGAGCAGCAACTGAAAAAGACGGCGGACTATTGATATCTGTTCTAATGGAATGTGGTGCAGTGTGTGGAAGCAGGATCCCACAAAGCCTGATCGGACTAAACCCCTTTAAATCTAAAATAATAACAATGGCTAGCAATTTCGTATCAAAGTCTGAAATAAGTGATCACAGTCGCAGAGATCTGATTTTGCTTCTCTTGGACCTTCTCATTGCGTACGGAAGACCAGTTGCGTACGAAAATGACTTCACACTTTGGTAAATGGCAAAGTTTTTCACGTGATGTTGGACACAATCTTTCAAATTCAGAAAGAGAAGGTGGTCAGCGTTTTTGACTGGCAACCTACATGCGTTCCAAGCTCACGTTATGCTTATGGGTAAAGGCATACTGCCTCACAAACAGGCAAAAACCTACCACCAGCTTAGCGTTCATCTCTGCGTCCTGTGCAGTGTGCGGCTTGGGCGAGACACCATGAGTGGATGCCGGCTCTTAGTTACGGCTGGCTTTTATACGGACAGGCCCTGAAGGTTGGCCTTCATTCACCTCACCCCGCTGGGAATGGCTATGACGCATGGGACGGTGCGTGCTCCCGGCAAACTGTGGAGAAGGCCGACACTGAGCACGGCATTGCACAGTGCAAGCCCCACGTTCTTGAGCGGGAGGACCATATGTGCAAAGTTCGTAAGAATGCAAAACCTGATGGCTGCACAGGACGTAACTTTTCCTTCAGAGTTGGATCCATGCTGAACACATAGAAAGCGTGAAGAGTGGATATGACACGACTGAACGAAAATATGCTGTCTGTTCCGTTCATTGGTGAACATTACCGAAACTCGCGAGGCCAGTCAAGGGGAAAAATGCTGCCAGCCATATAGCATTTTGACACAGCTCTTCTTCGCTCTTTCAAGATCAGTTGCAATACGTTACAAGAAGGAACAAGGAGGACGATGTCATGCTGCCAGCCTTGCATCGCTGTCGTATATCACAGTCCATAGGGTGCAAGAGATCCATCAATAACTTCGCGAAGGCCAGGCGGCTCGACACATGGCTCCATGTAAACGAACAGAATGTTGTCTAGACCGCTTGGGCATCCACTGTGCTCAAAACTCAGGATACTGTAGGATTGTGGCAAGATAGATCGGGCACAGTGGTGACGCTCAGACAGTCCCAAAACAGCTGTAATGCCTATGACAGTTGTCACAAATCTAGCACTGACGGCAGGTTCTGGAATAACTGGTACCGACGAGGGGTAATGGGTATATTGACCAACAGGCAACGACTGACAGGATGTCAAAATCACCATTATATTCACATATATCTATCAATACCCAGAAAATTGCCTTGACAGACACATGCGAAAGATTTTGAACATGAGTTCCAGGGACAGCACGGATAATTTGAATTTTCAAGGTCGACGAGTTGGGAGAGTGCCCCAGAATCATTGCCGACTATTACAAAAGCTATAAGTGGCTCTTACAATGGCTGCAAATGAAAACGGTCATAGAAAGACAAGACAAACTGTGTTTACAACTGGGAGATGGAATGATTTGGGCTCCATAGCACAGAGGCCAACCTCCACCACCAAGTGTTGCGATGTCAGGCAGGCAAACTTGAGGTGGAGAAAAACTTGAGACTTTTTACTAGTGTGCATGGCTACAAACTGCAGTCTTCCTTATATAAAAACCCTCTTAAGCATGGCTATGATTACAATACATTGGTGGTGGGGAGAGCTAGTGTCATTTGTTTTGGCAGGTACTTGTAAGCAGAGGCGGCGCCACCAATGGTTAACAGAAGGAACGAGGGAAGGGCATGCATGTCAAAAATACTTGAAGAGAAATAAGGTATGAGAATCTATGCGTTCACTACCCGATGGTCCTCAAAAAAGTCAACGCTATGCAAATTTGTCATGAATTTTGCGTTATGGTCATTGTCGCGTGTCTGGGCAATTGAGCCGGAGATGAGGGCAGCGGCTGAGACTCACAGCTTTCTCGAAATCTAGCATTAGCCATTGGTGTTGACTCAAACATAAATCATCCAATTGGCTGTCATGTCCTCTTTCCATCAACGTAGAAGGAATCCGTTGCGATGCACCCGGCTGTTTCGCTGTGCCGTCAGAAAAAATAGCGCATTTTCGTAATTTCTCCTCAGCACTGGGCAGGCTTTTACCTATAGCATGACCATGCAATGTTAATGCGTGCCTACGTACAGGAGAAAAATGTCAACAACGACAACATCTCAGGAATCTGTGCGGACTAAGTACTCTATGGCATGCACGCCTGATTTCTAAAATTATTGTTCACCTAGGGAAACTAAAAAACGATGAGTTCAGGTGAAAATCTGTGACAGTGGTGATCAAAATATCCCAAGTGCATGTTACTTGGAGATCGTAGTTTTTATAATATTTGGAGGCCCACACCACCACCGGTTATTGTGATGTCCTGAGCGCATCCAACCGTTCACAGAGGTGATGCGTTTAGTCTGGCATAATACCTCCTGTTCCGTTGGCAACGGATAGCAAGGTTATCTAATAACACCGCCAATCAGCCGCCTAGCGTATTGCGTGCAGGTGCCGGGTGGCTGTTTGTTCGGCGTGCTTCTGGCAGGGCGCATGCAGATGACGGGCGCCTATTGCCTCAGCTCGTAGCCCCCGACAGCGACTCCGAGCTGGCGACTGGCGACAGGCTGCATGTGATGGCCAGACGGAGCACTGTCGGCCTGTTTGTGTTGTGCTCAGGGCTCTCCTGCGCCTTCTGTTCAGGCATGATGGTACTTGAAAGAGCAATAATCGTCTTTTCTGCACGGGTCTCGGCATAAAGACCATATGTTACACTTCCTGAATGCATTTACGGTCTTTCAAGTCGTGGTCTGTCGGTTGTATAATCGCCGAAAAATTATTCAACCCCATAGTGTACACGTATTGCCAGGATTGGGAGCTACCCAGACTTACAAAACGGCATGACAGGTTTCATCCATTGACGGTACGACACCAGCACCAGGAGACTTCAGATGGTAGCTCCAATGCCTGGGCAGTGTAGAAACCGTTATGCCCTTATGTACGGCTCGTTACCATATCTCCAGCTTGATATGGGACTCAGCGTTTTCGATTTTTAAAGTCAGTTTGTCCTTGGAGTTTTGTCCCAGTTTAAATAGCATGGTTGCTACTTCTCCTATATTAAAGGATATGTAGCGCCCTAACTGGAACAACGCTTCCCGGGTTGCAAACGATGACATTACTGGGCTACGTCATCACCGCACAGTCATTCGCTCGCAAAACGCCTTCAATAGCATTTAGTAGCATCTTCATTTCTTTCCAGCAACTTCGCAATGCACAAAATGAGTGTGGTTGAACAACGATGTACAAGACAAATGTATTTTCATCCGCCATCAACGGACAAACAAGCAAAAACATCACGCAGAAGCCTCCGTTCAGTGGTTAGACCTCACCGGAGGCGTGCTCACTTTGTCCCGTAAGTAATAGCTGGATCGGTAGCTCCTGGGTGTATATCCGTATGTCTTGCTGTGTGACTGGTACCATCTGACGTCGCCACCCAGAGAACGTGTTTAGCGGCCGTAGCCGCGGCCGTAACCACTGTTGCCGCGCCCGTACCCGCCAAAGCTGCGGCGGTAACCACCGTAGCCGCCACCGTATCCACCGCCGTAGCCACTATATCCCCCGCCGTAGCCCCCGTATCCTCCCGCCGTTGCCACCGTATGCGCCTCCGCAGCCACCGTATCCACCGCCGTAGCCACCGTAACCGCGTGAGTACCTACGGTAGCCAGCAGAGGCGACAGCCACAACGGCGGCGAGGACCAGAAGCTGAATGAAAAACAGAGGACCATTTATATCCGTCCTTACAAAATGCGGTGCAGTGCATTGAGGCAGGATCCCACGAAGCATGATCAGAGTAAGTCCCGCTATATCTAAAACCAGAAGCATTGAAACAATTTTGTATCAAGGTCTCTGATAACTTGTCACTGTAGCAGAGATCTGGTTTCGCCTCTCTTGTACCATGGACAGTGCCATACGAATATCACCTAACACTATTGTATGCAGCAAAGTTTCCATGTGATGTTGGCACATTCTTTCAAATCCAGAAAGAGCAGCTGATCAGCGATTTCAAACCGACAACCTACATGCGTTCCAAGCTCACATTATGCGTGTGGATGAAAGCGTACTGCCTCACAAATACACAAAACCTACCACCAGCTTAGCGTTCATCTCCGTGTCTTGTAATGTGCGGCTTGGGCGGGACAAAATGAGTGGATGCTGGCTCTTAGTTACGGCTGGCCTTCATACGGGCTGACCTTGGAGGTTGGCCTTCATTCACCTCACCTCGCTGGGAAATGGCTATGACGCATGAGGTGGTGCGTGCTCCCGGCAAACTGTGGTAAAGGCCGACACTGAGCGCGGCATTGTACAGTGCAAGCCCCACGTTCTTCAGCAGGGGGACATAATGTGCAAAGGTCGTGGGAAGGCAACATCTGCTGGCTACACAGGACGTAACTTTTCCTTCAAGGTTGGATCCATGCTGAACACATGGAAAGCGTGAGGAGTGGATATGACACGACTGAACGAAAACATGTTGTCTGTTCCATTTATTGGTGAACATTACCTAAACTCAAGGCCAGTAAAGATAAATTTTATAAGCGATATATCATTTTGACGCAGCTCTTCTTCGCTCTTCCAAATTCAGCTGCACGACGTTACAAGAAGGAACAAGGAAAACGATGTCACAATGGCAGCCTTCAATCGCTGTCTTATATCACAGTCCATGGAGTGCGAGAGATCCGCGAAAAACTTCGCGAGGGTCAGGCACCTCCACACATTATTTCATATAACACCAAAACGGAATTTGGCCTAGAATGCTTAGGACATTCAACACGATCAAAACTCATAATGCTATTGGATTTTGGCAAGATAGGTTGGGGCACTGCGGATACGCTCAGAGAGTCCTGAAACAGTTTTGATGCCTTCGACGGTGTCACAAATCTAACGCCGACGAGGGGCTCTGTAATGGTTGGTACCTGGCGATGGGAAATAGGTATATTGACGGACAGGCAACAGTTGACGAGATGTCAAAATTACCAACGCAAATGAAAGATTCTGGAATTGTTGGCAACCGGAACTCCGGAACGGAAATTTGCTGTCTATTCCATTCATCTGCAAACATTATCTAAACTCAAAACAAGTCCAAGAAAACTGTTGGCAGACATGGGTGGTAGATGATAATCGAAGATAGGGGCAAGAGTTACGGCAAACAACTTTCTGAAAAATCTAGCATTAAAAATCGGCGTTGACTTAAAAGAAACCAACCATCCATTGGCGATCATATCCTCTTTGAGCTATTGCCCATATCAAGGAATATGAAATATTTAGACGTGCCTATATCCCATGGAAAAGTTTTACAGTGGAATATTTCAGACATGTTTAC